AGTGCAAAATTTCAAGATGTGTTTATTGAACACAATAATTAGTCGGAAAATTCTGTATATAATATCCAAGTAAACATAAATGTGATATATTGCAATTAGCCCAGCTTTGATCATGATTTTGAGTAGATGTATATTGATACTAATAGAGGTCACGAAAACAATAATAACTTGTCATATATTTTATTGTAAATGATAATTATTTAACCGCAAATTGACCAATGAATAAAGAGTATTTCAAACCTTACGAATATATACATATGATATATGATGCATTGAGAACGTTCGGATATTTTTTCTAATGGCTTTCCCATCAGCGATTGGCTCCATGTTCAATGAATATAACGACGGTTTACATTTGCATAGATACAATTCATCTAATTCAGAGTTAGATATACTTCATACTTCATTGATTGGTAATAGTTTTGTACAACACTTGAATCAAATGTCTTCAAGCTACGGACAAGTTTGCGATACGGCTTTTACTTTGATCTGACTACAATAGTCATTAAGTCGAATTATTTGTCCTGAAGTAAAAAAAAAAAAAACGCATCATAGAGCGAAGTTCAAACTCACGTAATTATTATCAATGTTGACAGCAAACTGTTACAACTCTATATTTTACTTGTTCCGGGTAACAAATAACGCTAACAGTTGGGTATACAACATGATTTCGGAGCTTCCCAAGGCAACAGTCTCGGACATCTGAATTTCGTTTTTACATACAATGATAGAATGCAGCTTCTTATGGTCAAATGAAAATACACACTAGTATATTAAATATTATATTATACCAGTATATTGATGGTGTTAATCCATTGATTTGATTGGTCCAAACACAAAATTTGCATATGCAATCCATGGTATATTGGCTGATAATGCACGGCTAAACCAAGTGGCCCTGGAACATGAATTGACTACAGGTTTAATACGGAAATACATAAAACCGGTATTATTTGATTTTTAGGGAAATATAGTGGTTGAATTTTGGAAGAATATTGAAAAAAATACTGAATTAAAAACATCTGAAAAGTTATATAACCATAATATTGCTTTTTATTAATGGTGGGATCCAAGTTGTGAGCGTCGGTCGTTGGGTGATTGTCGTTCGCCACACAAACCTAAACCACCGTCCCTCAACACCGTGAGGTGCCTAAGCGAACGCCAGAACGCTGTGTTCTCCATGTTGTGACTTTGAGATGAATTGCGAAGCTCCATCTGTTTCAAAATACACGGGACAATATTAACGCAGGACTCGACGACGATATATGGTATTGTAATTCTCCACTATGGGTAAATAAATTACAGGAGATGATGAAGGTAATTTCGAAAGCTGCAGATTTGTGCCGAGTGTACACCAACCACTGCATTTAGAGCGACGGCGTCCAAAGTCTTTCTTTCGGCCGGAGTTGAGACAAGGCATATCATGTACGTGTCACAAAAACGATGCGAGAATCCGATCTTACACCATCAAACTTACCCCAGAACAACGACAAAACTTGCCAGTCATACTGTCACAAACCTTTGGTTATACCAAAGGTATCCAGGTCAGATGTTGGAACTGAGGTCGCCGTGCCAGTCGTCGTACATGATACACCGCGTCCCACCGCGTCTCAAATTTCGGTCGAACCAAGTACCGCTGAACGTCAAATATCCACAGTTACAAGTAGTATGATGAGTCACAAAACCGGTTTATTTCACAACTGTACTTTCAATGGGCAAATTACAATCCAAATTGTACAAAAACCGGAATGAAAACGTGGAAAATCTGTACACGACCCTGTATTTCAAATCGCGTTGACGCAGTCAATAAAAGGTCAGAAAGGTCATCTTTTGTTATGCTAATTTGTGTGTTTACGCTGCTCTATTCACCGTGGATACGTTTCTTTTTCATGCGGAATAAAAATTATTTTGTATTCAATTTGAACTGTGTTGGGCATGTAATTTGTGTATGCATTCAGCATGACTTCTGAGTGGTCAAAGTCGACATATGGTGAATATTGAACATTATATTTACCTTTCTAGTACTTTCGGCCTACGCCCTTACAACATTCCTTTGTACCTAGGTGTTTCCGACACTTATACGTCAAAGTCAATTGTCGTAATTTTTTACAAATTATCGCTGCATATTTTTGTCCACAACAAATGAATGACTATATGCGTATTAGGACGTGTTGTCAGCGCGGCTAGCCCAACTTAATGATTAATGTTATAGTTCCCTCTCCTGTTTCCTATAATGTGTTTTTGACTCATGTGGTGTATATTGTTTGTGGATATTAAGAATTCCATAAATTATACCGTATTAATTGTATATTGGGATATTTTGAAATATTACTACAATTATTTTCATGGTGTTATTAAATAACGTATAAGACGTACAAGTTTAAGAAATGACTGACAAAGGTCTTGCTTTTTGGAAATATATTTAGATAATAGATTAGCAATGAGGATCGAATCGCATTAAAATTAAATCTACTTTAGTTCGTGTAATAAAATTACCTAGATATTTTAACGAGTTGCTGCTACTGTTAAATACCATTGATACATCAATTACCATGAGACGATGTGATGAACATAATTTCGAGGTCTACAATTGCGAGTTCTCACGAAGAATTTATAATACTTGTGAATGGATATACCTTAAATGTAACTTACATAAGTCAAAGTAATACAGAAAACAAGTTAAATTAAACATTTTCAGAGCTCATGCCGATATACATAAATTGTAAGTATTCCGTTATATATGTGTCTTGTATCGTATTCAGCAACATTTTAGCGACATCAAGATACTTAACAACATCAACAAATAAAGCAGGATCAACATGCTTAGTGAAATTAACATAATTCGTGAGATCAACATGTATAGCAAGATCAACTAAAACAGCGACTTAATCACACTTACCTACGTCAACACGAACAGTAACTCAACGTAATTATTGAGATTAACGATGAATAGCGACATAGATATACTTAGAGACATTAACACACATAGCACAACATATGTAACAAGATCAACATTCTTTACAGCAATATCAACGTATTTAGTGTTATCAACATACTCGACATCAACATTAAATACTTACCGACATTATCATACCTAGCGACATTTACATATTTAACGTCAACATAACATACTTAGGGGCACCAGCATATCTGACATTAGTAAATTTAGCGTCATCAACATACTTACCGACATATACATACTTAGTGACATACATACTTAGTTTCATCAACACACTTACCGACATACATACTTAGTTTCATCAACACACTTACCGACATACATACTTAATTTCATCAACACACTTACCCACATACATACTTAGTTTCATCAATACACTTACCGACATACATACTTAGTTTCATCAACACACTTACCGACATATATACTTAGTTTCATCAGCACACTTACCGACATACATACTTAGTTTCTGCAACACACTTACCGACATACATACTTAGTTTCAGCAACACACTTACCGACATACATACTTAGTTTTATCAACACACTTACCGACATACATACTTAGTTTCAGCAACACACTTACCGACATACATACTTAGTTTTATCAACACACTTACCGACATACATACTTAGTTTTATCAACACACTTACCGACATACATACTTAGTTTCATTATGTAGCTGACTTCATCTACATATACATAGCGACATGTTGACTAGCTTAATGAAAATTGCATTTCTAAATCTACTCATTTATGTTGATATTCTCATTTTCAGTGTCGATTCAGTTCAATAAATGTGTTATAATGATTGAATTATAGTATTTTGATGTTATTTCCTGTATTGACGTGCTGTATTCTCAATGCTCTTAGCGATCGCTGACAAAACGCGTAGATATAATACACGTAATGTACAGTGTATCAGATTCAAAATCCGGTGCCTGGTGTTTGTTTCATACAACATTCGTTAAATCCCTTCCGGCAAGGAACAATCATGAGATTGAATTCACTATTTTGATAATACTACACACGGCAGGAGTCGTAAAGTCGCAATCAATTCAATACAGATTGAAGTTTCAACTATGTTATCACCTCGACCAGCCACACATCGCTGATGATCAGTCACGTGGTTCCGTATATCTTCATAAAGCGGATGAGTCTGTGATTTCAGTATCTGCACGGTACTGCACAGATTGAGCTCGTCTTTTGTCTTACCAGAGGAAATTGTAAGTACCAACAACTACCTGTTTATCTCATGTACTTATCTCAGTACTAGTGTACATTGTTTTCCATTCTGTTTCTTATCATTGGCAGTGGCAATGTATGCGTTTGTTTATTAGTTAGCAGTAACGGCCCCTACTGTAGCAACAGTACTATCAAACTGAAACAGCTTGGATACTACTTGTTACCTAATTGAAACACAGTATGCAATATTAGAACTATGAGTCTACAGCTCGAAAAAACAACATGCTGGAAGATACTATACTAATGTTGCAAAGATATATTCAATATAGATGAATGAATATGAATATATGTTCAACAAACAAATGTTACATTTGAAATAAAATGGGTAATACAGTGACCAATTCGAACCAAGAAATTGAAACTCGCCTTATCGAAGGGTTCTTGAGATTTGTGGATCTCGACTTATTTACTACGAAACTATCTGTGCCGCCCCTACAACGATCACGGATATGGGTCCCATTGTGCGGGGTTTTACTATACACGCCCATTGGTTATATATAAAAGAGTCATAAAACATATACAGTGTTTTGCTAATTTGTTTGTTTATGCAAATGTACTGCCATATTAAGGAAACTATATATATCTTCCATAAAGACAAATTGTTCTTTAAATGAATAATAATGAAGAAAAGGTCCGCCAGATTTTAATTCAGACATACTGCATATATGTTGGGGGTTTGATTATGTAGTTACTATTTTGTGGGCATGCGCTGTAAAGCTGACCTCGGGAGTGATAAATAGATAAAAGGCGGATGGGAAGATAATAATATCCTGCTTCCATTCGACAGACGTCGACATGGCAAGGACTAGGTGCAGGTTCTTTGAACTGATGTGTTTCACTGCGATTCTAACAAATGCCAAAACACCGCTCTATATCGGCGGTTTCATGCCGTTCTCGGATGTCACATATGACAAACTGGTGAAATCGGTGCATCGAGCGATCGAAGACATCAACTCATTTGACGACATCCTGTCTGACTATGAACTCACAATGATTTGGAACTGGACTATGGTAAAGTATTATTTATACTAAAAATCGTTCAAAATATAATAAATATACATACATTTATATATCTAATTATATTTAAATATTATATTAAAATGTCGAATGAAGGTATAAGTACAACACCGGTCACAACATTCTGAATGCAAAACAAGATATTGCAGAAACATACACAGTTGATAAAATTCCTGGTTTTCCGAAATCACAAATTTACCGTGAAACATCTATAGAAAGGTTCATCGATTTGGTTGTGCTGTGTAGTGACTGAAGAGGTTTCACATCTCGACGTTATTGTTATTTACTGTACTTCTGAAGTGCTTTCGGGAAAGCATTTGTGCACCGTTTGACAGTTTATGGGACAAACCTTGACGGTATATGCCTTAATTTTTTTGAACGAGAAATATGAGTATCTTGCCGAAGCCTGATAACTTCCAGTTACAACTATTCTATCAGGAAATAAGGATGGATTAGTTTAATGAAATAAGAATGAGATTATTATCTCCGTGCGTCCTTGAGGGTTTTTATATATTGCAATTAAACATGACTGAATAAATGCGGACACACAGTATAAACTATTATTTCAAACAGTATACATGGGTGAATGTTTTGTGAAATGTTATATATGTAATATACTAGATACATTACATCGTTACTGATATCTTACGTTGTAGCATGCTTGCATTCGGCGGTGTTTTGACACTCTATGAGAAAATTGGAAGTGACAAGTAAAAATAAAAATGAAGTGTTTAGTCTCAAATTAAATAATGCTCTTCGTACGTCCGTGGTGGTTTGGATATAACGGTGCAAGCAATTGAATATGATAAGATAAATGCGAACACTAAGTTGAAGAATTAACTTGCTAAATGTGAGGCAGTAATTTGCAGTATATGTACTCAATACCTCCGCAGCGTCTGCATGTTCGTGTTTGATTCGATGGGTTCATGCGATCAATGTTAATATCATTACACGGAATACACTTTAAGGCCAGAGGCAGTAAACTATATTTTGCCCACAATTTTCAAACAATATAATCAATTTATAACGTGCGTAGTGATACAATTAAAATAGATCAAGTCATATTGACTACATGATCATATACTCAAATGCCATTAAAATATTGCCATAGTTACTAGATATGTAACTATAGAAATATGATATAGAAGAATACAATCGTGTACTTTTTGTTTTAATATTTATTTTGAAGTCTAAGTTATCTGAGCATTTAAACAGTTGTTTCACGGGATTGGTAGGTTTTTGCACTGTTATTTCCCGTAATAATTAATTTTGAAATAAAGTCTCGTTATACGTATGCGTCATAGGGCTATAGTCCGTAAAACGCCGGTTTCAGACTCGATTTAATTGACGTGACCGTGATCTTGTGACAATAGCCCTAATAGTTATTTTTAGACCATTTGAACACATGATTCAATTTGTTCAATGTTAGTGTGTAGGAAACTGCTGACATATTATATTAGTTAAAATTGTTAAAAAACAATCTTTTCGTATATGACATCGGAAAAAAACAATATATTATCATATATATCACAATGATCATATAATATACATATATAAGTATCGGGCCTTTAGACTGTGGTTGTGATCTTAGAGAAACTGACACAACCTAACTATTTCTTGTTAATGAATGCTAATTTGTACAAGATGGCGTATCACGCAAGTAATTTATTCAAGACTATGTGTTACGTAAAATATCTTCAATCAGAATGGACATTAGATCCGTTGCCATGTGTATGTCCTAACATGGCTATGTGTTGCCAAGGGTAAGCGGAGGGGGCCACAAGCTTCCGCGGAGAAAACACAACGGTCAAAGTCGGCACCCGCTGGCCAGAAACAGCCAGGAGGTAAGCGCCTCTATGCTTCCGCGGAGGGAAAGCACGGAATATATTCTCTTGTGTTTATGTCAATATATATCATTTCACTACCATTAATGATGCTATGTTTTTGCCGGTTTTGTCAACATTGTGGTTGAAGTCGTTAATCGCAATAGTAGCCATGTTATTTCTATTTCAGTATTTCGAAAACAAAATAGCTCCTACGTTGATCGCCTCAAAATACTGCACACACCAATTTCAAGTTAAGAAGATTACACATAATTGCCAGAAGACACCAAGTATAAATTGCATGTTCAGAGACAGGGTTTAAATATAGGCGAATTAATGATATGGAATTGTTCGTTTATAGTTGCTTTCGGATTAGTAAGCTACCTTGAAGCTGGTGGATAAGCTATGTCGACGTGTGCCGACGAATTACAGGCGTCACGGTGACGGACTTGTGATCAACAACATGACATAACCCCTTCATTTTAAAAGCAGGCATATATTACCGTCATATATCCTGAAAAGTATATCCTAGCTTAAGACACACCATTCATAAGTTACATGGTTTTAAACAAATTAAGAAGATTACACTGAAGTTTACATGGAATGTATATAAAAAAAATGATGTGTTCAGAGATAATCATTGCATGGATTGGTTTTATTGAATAGTGCGAGTTAACTTTTTTTTTCGGATATGTTGACATGCACGTAAGCTGATGTACTCGTTAAGCTGATGTGGCGTTTAGTGCACTGACCGATTATAACTGTCCCGGTGATGTATGGCAGAATTGACGCTGGTGTTTCTGACTAGTATTTATATATTTACTGCATCACGGACATTAATTAAACAATTTATTTTCGTTTTCACAAATTATTTATCACTCGCCTGTGTAAATACTACGCTATAATCTGAAAAATGCATTGCCTATTTAGATACACAAAGAAAAAATATCCCAGATTTTATGAAGATTGTAATCATTGCAGTCAGTTTTATTACTAAACATAAACTTGGGATACAATACTCTACTAATTATTGCTTGAGTTTGTATTATAGTACGTTCATATTTGTCCTTGAAAACATGATTATGACATAAACTGATGAAGACACTCTCGTTACCATGACGATGACTAAATATTAACTTCTGGTACGCGCTTTTAACTCACGGGTACCGAGTGCGGAATTTTGAATAGAATTGTGACCGAGGTTGTTTCAGTGACAAGGCAGTATGTACTGTTACAGTTGTATTATGTACTGATGGTTCCGTTGCCATGGTAAATACATATTTACCATAAAGAAAGTACAACGACGCATAATATCGCCATAATGAGGTTCTAATCCCGTTGAATGTTTTAATTCGATATTTGTGTGTTTTGTTGCCCACGTGCCGTACATTGACATAAAGTGTTGTCAATAGGTTATTCATACGACAATCCTCGAGAGATCTCGTCTCGGTAACGTGAGGTGTTGGTATTATGACTAGACGTCAAGCGACGAGTCAGAATACTCGTATGATATCACTGGTGTGTTATCTAATGACCGATGTGTAATAACTTTTTCATCACGCATGTTTTCATGAACTATATTTTCTATCGGACAAATAAAGATAATTTCTCAACAAGTTTCAATATTTGAACTGGAACATTACTAGATGCTCCGATAGATGCGTGCACTGAAAGCGTGAACGACACACAGACACACGCGTTCCTGGTCGAAGTTTGAGCTCTTCAAATAATGATTCCTAATATCTCACTATCCCCCACACTGTACCATACATAATTACTACACGAATCAGAGAAACAGAAAATCAGATAGTGAAGGAGGGGCAGACAAACAAGTTATTTTCGTAAAGTCAGGTAAAGTCAGTCAGTAAACCGTGTTCAAGAAATGAGGTTTCTCAGCAGTAAATATAAATATCAACAAGAGTTTCAAAACTAATAAATTGACAAGTATGAAATATCACCGTTCGTGTTGGAAATGGGAAGGAGACCCATCAGAATCTCTTGTTTTGGACTTATATGTGTATTATTGTTTCGTGTCTTAATTTAATTTAAGTTGCTCCTGGCGTTTTGGTCAAAAAACTATCCGAATTTTTGGAGATATGCAGGCCACCAAAATATTCACGGAAAACGAGCTAAAACCTTGAAAACTATCAAACTCACTAATAATTGTGAAACTCTTGTTTACTTATAATGTATGAATATTTTTTTCGAATATTTAAACTAACTTGGCTGTTTAGAAGTTAAGTTAGAACGCAATTAAAGTGGACATAACCCGCCGTAAGAAAAAAAAAACAAATTAAAAGCTGATTCTTTTTATTAATATGTTGCACTGTAAAGAAGAGCTATGAAATTTGAATAGTGTGAAAATAAAGGAACAAAGAACACTTTAGATAGGCTTCGAAAGTCAAAGATCAAATCAAGAAAATATATATTACGATTACACCATGTATACCGATATCAACTCAAATTGTGTATACCTTGTTTGTAATATCGGTAAAGTTTTCCCGTGGTAAAGAGGAATAATCAATAATCATTCGACTGTTGTATCTGAATACGCAATGACGTCAACAAATACATTAGTATTAACAAGTCTACGAACAGTCTTCGTTGGATATCATGAAAACACACTCTTACAAATTCTAATTAGTTTAATAAATATAGTGAAATTATTTTAGCCTAAAATTATCAATTGTGTTCAAAATTTAAAAAACGATATATTTAAAGCACTCACATGGACGTTTGATAAGGTTAGGCTGTCATTAAACTGTAAAATACCCTGTGAGATTACTGATATCTCTCCTATAATAAAAGGTGAAGTTTAAAGTTAACGAAGACATCATGGAAACATCACAAACACAATACTGTCGTAGTTACATACTTCATTGTCTAGAGTAAAAATGCTTTCATTATTTTGATGTGGTTGACATGGAAATTAAGGGCATCATGAAATCATTCACAATTACTTACAACGAGAACCAAACAACTATTGATTTTGTTATACGCAAACATATTCGATTGAACGAATGTTTGTTATTAGTGCTATGGTACCAAACGTTAACACTGTTGCCTATGGGAATTATATCGGTGGTTGTACACTAATTGGGACATTTAGAAGCAATTACTACACACGCCGAGGGATTATAATCATCCGTCACTATCAGTTTGTTTATATGT